TATTGATGGGATTGGTTATGGTATAAAATATATAAAATAAATGTTAGTATGAATGATGAGAGAGAGAGGCTATATATATTGTGTCTCTTACTGAGCATTCGCTCAGTCTAAGTCTGTGTGGAACCATCTTATAATCTTTCAACAGCATATATGTGACCCAAGACCACAAAAGGGCTGTAAACTCGCATCCCCAGGTTTCGAGAAAAAGGGCCAAATAGACAGTATAACATGAAGTTTGAGAAAAATGTGATTATATCATAAATATAAAGTATTACCTTTAATCTTACTATTTGTGAAGCTTGGGTTCAATATTTCAACTCTGAAAACCTAAAATTTAGTGATTTTATGAAGGCCATTCTACGAGAAACGTATATAAATTCAACAACTTTCAAACCGCCATACTTCGCTTCAAAACAACTTATTCACCTACACAAAATTCAGGCCCTGAAGTATGTTCCGAAAGTATTTGTAGTGCATCGTACTCTGGTACAAAGCTTACGTAAATTTACACCTAAATAAAGGAAATATCCTTGAATTAAGAAAGAATACTAAACTGTTTCATGACCTGCTGGAAATATTTTAATGGCCTCAACAATGAGCAATAAAAAGTGTAGACAAATCATTTGTTGGATCTTTGCTGTCAACAAGGTTACGAGCAGTATCGACAAAATATGTTACCTAACACTTATTTTTAATTTACTAATGGAGTGAAATCAAGCACTATATCAATTTGGTCATTCAAATCCTATAGAAATTACAACACAGTCTATACTACATATACAAGAAAAAATTAGGAGTGTGTTTACTAGTAATGAAATAGGTATGCCTATTTACTTCAACAGTACGTATGCTTAATATAATGGAAGTATGGGGTAATGGGTAACTTCTTTTAATGTAAGAAAACTCTTAAATGTCGTACATTTTAGAAAAATTAGGTCAATAATAAAAGACTAATTTTCAAATACTAGTTGAAATAACGATTTAATAAATATCGATTTCCACATTAACTTGGAAACCCTTATTGATGGGATTGGTTATGGTATAAAATATATAAAATAAATGTTAGTATGAATGGTGAGAGAGAGGCTATATATATTGTGTCTCTTACTGAGCGTTCGCTCAGTCTCAGTCTGTGTGGAATCATCTTATAATCTTTCAACAACAAAAGGGCTGTAAACTCGCATCCCCAGGTTTCGAGTAAAAGGGCCAAATAGACAGTATAACATGAAGTTTGAGCAAAATGTGATTATATCATAAATATAAAGTATTACCTTTAATCTTACTATTTGTGAAGTTTGGGTTCTATATTTCAACTCTGAAAACCTAACATTTAGTGATTTTATGAAGGCCATTCCACGAGAAACGTATATAAATTCAACAACTTTCAAACCGCCATCCTTCGCTTCAAAACAACTTATTCACCTACACAAAATTTAGGCCCTGAAGTATGTTCCGAAAGTATTTGTAGTGCATCGTACTCTGGTACAAAGCTTACGTAAATGTACACCTAAATAAAGGAAATATCCTTGAATTAAGAAAGAATACTAAACTGTTTCATGACCTGCTGGAAAAGATTTGGAAAGCCCTCTGGCAGTGAAGCGGACCAGAAATGATGTAGAATGCGGTTGAGTACATGTTAAGAAACTGGTTTTGGTTATTAAAACTTAAAAAAAATATTGACGCCAACAGAACAATCATCTGCACTATTTTCAGCGATGTGAAACTAAAACCTATTGAAACAGGAAACGGAGTGGACTATTTTTTTTAACATGAATATTTCGACCTGAACTCAGGACCTCCTCCGCATGACTGATTAACATTATGAGAAAGTTGGTACAGTACAGTAATACCTAATGGGCAATTGGTCAGACTTAATCATGATGACTTAATTGTAACAAACGGTATAATCGGGCCTACAACCAAGTTGAGAACAAAAGTGAGATGATTATAGTGAATAAACAACAGGTGGCTGTAAGGCAACTTAGGATTAATAAGATAAATTAATGAGTAGTAATGACTATTATAAAAAAAAAAGGAAAGTAAATATATAACTGTTATAATGATAGATTCATATAGATCACGATGAACATAATTATGGCTTCAGTGTATCATAATGGAATATAATCGTAAAGGGGACATAATAACGATTATAATAGTAATGATAATATTACTAATACTACTACTACTACTACTACTACTACTACTACTACTACTACTACTACTACTACTACTACTACTACTAATAATAATAATAATAATAATAACAATAATAATAATATGGAATATATGGATGAGATAAAGACTAAAATACACTAGTTAAAATGGATATCAGTGTATACAACAGTGTATTAAAATTAAAGACGGCCTACAATATTTAAAGATAATGAAAAATGTAAGAACATTTTTTAAGGAAAACTACTCAAGATTAATATCTTATATTATTTATTATTATTAATTTTATTAATAATAATAATAATAATAATAATAATAATTACTATTATTATTATTATTATTATTATTATTATTATTATCATTATTATTACTAATATTATAATTATTATCTATCTTTCATGATTTTCATTGAAGTATTTTATACCCTTAGCAATAAATGAGCACTCTCATACGACCACTCCTAGTGTTAACGGAGCCAAGAAGCATACTAGAACCAGATAACTTAGTTTAGTTCATTTAATATTAATTTTTCAAGTACAGGTACTTTCATAGCTACAGAAGTGAGGGCAATTGGTCTAGATTATGCATGCTTTGGTTTTTGAATACCCACTCATTAATGTAACACCATTCCATACCTTCTTCCGAATATTATTTTCAGTGTATTTTTTTTTCAATTTTAGGAATAAATGATAAGTTTTTCTGTATTATTTTCATACCATTTTTATCGCCATTCTTAAATAATTTTCTTTTCTCATTAAGCGCTTTCCTAACATCACACGTTATCCAGCGTTTTTATGTTATTAGGGTACACTTTCTTAGTTTAGTAGGGACAAGCAGCTGTGTGCAAAAAGCGATATAACTGCTGACGGTTTGGGTAAGTTCATTGATGCCATTAGTGTTCTCAATGAAAACATTCCATTTCGTGCAATTAAAATATCCTTTACAGATTTAAATGGATCAGCAGACCATTTCTGTACTTTAATTTTCTTTGTATTTTGCAAGAGAGGTGTACCTTGGGCTAAGTAGAACCAGATTATGGGTTCTGAAGACGTATGGCCATCCAAGACTACTGATGGTTTTCTACTAAACAGGAAAGATGTAATCCAGTTAGCAGCTGCTCTTGGATACCAAATGCTGCAGCCCCTTGTGCCATATCGAGAGTTATAATAGCCCTGGCTTAACGGTGTGAATCCAAGGCATTGTCCCACAGTTAAGTAATGCAGCACAGCAGCAGATCGACTGTCAACTTGTGCGTCGAAAACCCTACTGGGAGCCACATAACAATTAGTTACTGTTAAGGTGATGTCAAATACTGTCAATGACAATATTTTCCATCACCTTGGACTAAATACAAAGAAGAGTGCGTCGAAAACCCTACTGGGAGCCACATAGTCGGTAGTTAATAGGGTATCTTGGCTACCCTTCTTGTGAACGGGAACAACATGTTCCAAGAAAACACGATGAATTTAAATGATCTCAACTGATTCAAAGAGCCATAAAAGAGAGAGAAATTATGCTTCGCCATTTTGGATTTTTGCATCACCGAGGTTACAAGTATCGACAAAATTTGTTATCTAACATATTTCTTAATTTATACACTAATGAAGTGAAATCAAGCACTATCCCAATTCTGTCATCCTACGGAAATTACAATTCCGTCTACACTATATATGCTAGAAAAGAATTGTGAGTGAGTTTATTAAGTATGAAATTAATATGCCTATTCAATTATTTACAGTCCATACGCTTAAAAAATATAGTGGATGGACGGGCCTAATGGGTAACTTAATCAAATTTAACACAGCTCTTAAATATCGTAATGTTAGCAAATTAGGTCAATGATAAAACACTAATGTTCACATACTAGTAACCTGCGTCTAGCTGCAATAACGATGTAATGAAAAAATTGATTGCTACATCTAACTATTATTGATGGAATCGGTTATGGTAGGAATGATGACAGTATGCTATATATGTTGTGTCGCTTAGAGCGTTCGCTCAGTCTCATTCTGTGTGGAACATACACACCTAGTCATATCATTGTGAAATTACGAATAATCAGTAATACAGGTTCAATTTCCTTGTTTTTCTAAAATTGGCGTGAAATTAGCAGAAAACTATATTGAAATACAATATTGCACATTGGGCAACTATATGGATCAAAATTATACGTTCGAGTTTGAGAGCGGTGACGATGTCAGCCCACTCAGGTTCTTAACCTACACCATTCTTGCTGCTGGATTCATAGCGAATCTGGTGGCTGTTGTTTTTCTGTACAAACACTTGCAGAAGCACAAAGAGGCGAATCACATAATTCTTTTATTTACTTTAATCGTGGTTGACTTTATATGTATTACTATTTACATACTTCGTAGGATTTTGCAAAACATTATGCCTTGCAATTTGATGGGATTCACAAATTTCTTATTTCCGCTAGCATCTGGTTCTATATCTTCACTTATGTGTTTCGAGCGTTGTATTGCTCTTTCGATGCCCTACCGTTACGGTAACTACTTTCAGCCCAAGAAAACTAAACTTTATGCTTCAGCCATGTTAGGCTTGATGACGTGTGTCAGTGCGCTACCATTCGTAGGGGTTGGTAGCTATGATGCAGTATCATTTGGACCTCAAACTTTCTGCAAAAACTTCTATATTCCAAGTGATCCTGGCATTTACACCGTTCATTTTGCCTTATATAGTTTGTGCGGTTGGTCGATCGTTATTATCGGCGCCGTTTCTAATATTAGAGTTGTTTACGCTATTTACGCAATGGATGCAGTATCATTTGGACCTCAAACTTTCTGCAAAAACTTTTATATTCCAAGTGATCCTGGCATTTACACCGTTCATTTTGCCTTATATAGTTTGTGTGGTTGGTCGATCGTTATTATCGGCGCCGTTTCTAATATTAGAGTTGTTTACGCGATTTACGCTATGTCAAAGATGCACGCAGCAGTAAGTCTGAATCAAACACCACAACTCAGAAACAACCAAGAAATGAAGAGGCAAACCAACATCGCTAAAACTGTGATTGCGATTTTCACTGGATTTACAATATGCTGGGTTCCTTGGCTTGTATGTCTGTATTGTTTTTTTATTTTTTCAAATCCTAATTCAGTTTAACTCAGATAATGTGAGGAACTTATAAAATACAATACCTAGTTCAACGCCTTTGTATCATTGTTTCTATCATTGATTTTAATTTGTCATTAAATTATTAAACTTACTGTATTCTTCATATTCTGCATTACCTAAAAATGTTCACATTTCTGCACATCTAATGTATTTTCACTGAATATTTGTATTATAATTTCAAAATTCTACTACGTTTTAGACAGTGGTTTTGCTTACCTCTTGTATTCCAATGTTGATTTCTCTTTTGTGTACGTTTTTGCTATTATTCGTTCTCAAGATGCATCTGTATTTAGATTTATTGCAAGTAAAAGTAATTCCTCTTTTATAATTGTATGTTTCAGGATTTTAACTTTTGAAACTAATACTCTTCTACAAAACATTAAATTGTCAACTAACATTTATGAACCTAACAATACTTTTTATTATAATTATTTATTTTATTCAATTTTGTTTAGCGAGCGTGACCCAAAACAGTGGTACGCTGACGATCATGGGGCTCTCACTTAACAACATTATATTTAAAAAAAACAGTCACATTCACTATACAGAAAATAAATTAAAAAAGAGTACGTACAATATATAAATAAATAAATAATGTATGTACAATGAAATAAACAATGAATTTAATTAAACACTCAAAAAAAAACAAATCTTTTAAAGATTTATTGCAATAAATAGTCATTTAGAAAAAATATAAATTGTTTTATCTATAAAAAATCAATTTAATAGTTGTTAGTAAAATTATTAAAAAGTTAATTAATTTAAAATAAAAAATATATCAGATAATGTGAGAGAATTTTAAAATATAATACTTCAATTCCATTATATCATTATTTTTTTTTCTATCATTATCTTTATTTTGTAATTAAATGAATGAACTTACAGTAAACTTCATACTCTGCATTACCTGTAAATTTAGATATTTTTTTGCATATCTAATGTGTTTTCTCGTTGTTTATTTGTATTATACTTTCACAATTCTACTGAACTTCGACAGCCTTATTGCTTTACCTCTTGTGTTCGAACGTTGGTTTTATGTTTTAATGTACGTTTTTGTTTTATTCCTTCTCAAGTTACATTTGTGTATTTAATGAAAATTAAAGTTGTTTTGTAATTGTATGTTTCAAGATTATTAACTTTCTATAATACTAATTCTTCAATAAAGCAGTCAATTTTCAGACAACATTTATGCAGCCATACATACCGTGCGCATAGACTGCATATAAGTTCCACTTCCACCTCTCTATATACTAAGAGAAATAATGTTTACATTGCCATTTCCTGTAATTGTAATATTGTTGTTAGTAACAATATATTATATTTTTCAGGTGGTGTTGATAATTTTAAGAGCCGGAAAAACTGTCAACGAAGATTTTATTATTGTGACGACGCAAATGCTTTTGGCGAATCATTTAGTCGATCCGATTTCTTGGGTCTTGACCAGTCCAGGAATATATAAGTTCATAAGTGCCAAGTTACGTGTACTTTTACCAGGCTTTCAAAAGTCTTCAGTGTCTGTTAGTCCATCTGACACAACTAACACTGACAAAGC